GTAAAGCCCGAGAAATGGTACGAAGCAAATTACTATTGCCAACAATGGTTCCGGAAATTATAGCAACGCTGCGCATGTGTTTCGGCAGACCAGAGTTAATCATCGAACATTTAATCGAAAAGGTACAAAAGGTTCCACCTATAAAAGATAAACTCGATGCCCTTATAGATTTTGCGCTTTGTGTACGCAACGTGTACTCTACGATGGAATCCTGTCACATGGACGCGTATATGAATAATCCCATGCTAGTAAAGGAGTTGGTGGATAAATTGCCCAGCAATCACAAGCTTGCTTGGGCTATGCAACCAAAACCACAACGCGAACCCATAGTGAAAGTGTTTAGTGATTGGCTTTACGCGCTCGCCGAAGCGGCTAGTCAAGTAGTCGGCTTTGCCAGCCCGAAAAAAAGCGGGATAGTAAACACGCACGTACAGTCTTCTGGAGCACAACGAAATGCGAGCTGTGCTCACTGCAAGGCTGACGGACATCGAGTTGCACAATGCGAGGAGTTTAAAAAGCTGAGTCCAGACCGCAAATGGGAGGTTGTCCGTAGCTTAAAGCTATGTCGCCAATGCCTGAACGCTCATCGTCGGCGTTGCTTCGTAACAAGGACTTGCGGCTTAGACGGCTGTAACGCCAAACACCATCCCCTTCTGCACGGGAACACTGCTTCGTCCGCACGAAATACTCAAGCAAACTCTACTGCGGTCGCCACTGGTAGCGTGAATTCACACAACGACCCAAGGGAAAACGCCTCTTCCTACTTTCGCATCCTACCGGTTCGTATACATGGTAACAATAACTATATTGACACTTTGCCTTTCTAGACGAAGGTTCGTCGGTAACTCTCATGGAAGAAGAAATATTTCAGCAACTCAACATAGCAGGAGTGCCTGATCCATTATGTCTTCGTTGGACGGGCGACAATACCCGTAACGAGGAGTCATCCGTTAGAACGTCACTCAACATTAGTGGCAGATATAACGACAAAGTGTTCAACATTAAGGGAGTTCACACCGTGAACCATCTCGGGTTGCCGAGGCAGACTGTCGATATGACGAGGATCGCCACGGATTATCCATATATGAAAGGCCTTCCCATTAAGTCCTACTTCAACGCGAAGCCAACAATACTCATTGGCTCCGATAATTGGCAACTGGCCGTACCGCTTAAAATTCGGGAGGGCAGCTGGCATCAACCTATAGCTACAAAAACGAGGTTAGGCTGGGCCATACAAGGTCAGCGCGGTGGTTCGTCGTCGAACACATGGTTGAATATACACTCATGTGCGTGCAAAGCTGAATACGAAAAGCTGCATGAACTAGTAAAACAACATTTCAAATTAGATGACAGCCAACGCGTGACGCTGCTCTCTTCAGATGACCAAAGGGCACTAGCCATACTCAACTCTACGTGCAGGAAAATTGACGACAGGTATGAAGTCAGTTTACTTTGGCGACATGAGGAAGTTAAATTACCGGACAGTTACGAGATGGCTCGTAAACGCTTAGTTTGTCTCAACAACAAATTCCGAAAAGACCCTTACCTCAAGGAGGCTATGCAGAAACAGATAGACAATCTTCTAACTAAAGGTTATGCGAAAAAGTTGAGCGCTGTAGAGTTAGCGGAACACAAAGGACGCGTTTGGTATCTGCCTATATTCGTGGCACACAACCCAAACAAACCCGCTAAAGTCCGACTAGTTTGGGACGCAGCAGCAAGAAGCAACGGTATGTCCCTTAACGACGCTATACTGTGTGGACCCGATCTTCTTGTTCCCCTAGTAGATATTTTGTTGGATTTCCGCGTTGGTAAAGTTGCCATATGCGGTGACATCGCGGAGATGTTTCACCAAATTAACGTTAGCGATAATGATATGCACGTCCAAAGGTTCCTCTGGCTGGACGAGGACGACGACATTTCCAAACCGAGTGTGTACGTCATGCGCGCCCTCACTTTCGGCATTAGCTGCGCCCCATGCATTTCTCATTATGTGCGTGACAAAAATGCAAATACTTTCTTTGAGCAGTTTCCCAAAGCCGTTGATGCAATAAAAAGACGCCATTACGTGGACGACTTTATTTATAGTGAGGACACCGAACAGGACGCCATTGAAATTGGGAAAGCAGTGAAGCATATACATGCCTCAGCTGGGTTTATTATCCGCAATTGGGCATCAAACTCCGCTGCAGTTCTCGAGGAAATGGACGGAGGCCGCGCTAGGGCCCAGGCACCATTAGAGTTGAACTCAAGCGAGAAGATTCTTGGAGTTTACTGGGATCCCAACAAAGATGTGTTTAAATATGCATTCAGGTTTGCAAGGCTGAAGCGGAACGTCGTAGAAGGCGATACAACACCAACAAAACGTGAAATACTGCAGATACTGCTTCAAGAGATATGGCGCTCGCGCTTAGGTTGGGATGAGGAGATCGATGATGTCATGAATGTAAAATGGCGGCAATGGAAGGCCGGCCTAGCAGCTATGTCCTCTGTAGAAATACCTAGGTGCTACTCACTTTATCTAACCGTTGCTGAGGATGTCCAATTGCATACATTCGTAGATGCCGGCGAATATGGCTACGCAGCGGTGTGCTACCTACGTGTCAAAACTGCTACTCATATAGATGTGTGTATTATAGCTGCTAAGTCAAAGGTAGCTCCTCTAAACCCGGTATCCATTCCACGACTGGAACTGCAGGCAGCGGTGCTGGGCGCGAGGCTGTCTTCAAAAATTCAGCGTATATCACGACTAAAAATACAGAGAAAAATTTTCTGGACTGACTCAACAACTGTGTTGAAGTGGCTAAGCATGGAACCTCGTCAATTCCGCCAATTTGTAATGTTCCGTGTTGCAGACATCCTGGAGCACACGAACCTGAACCAGTGGAAATGGGTTCCATCCCTACTTAATCCCGCGGACTTGGCGACTAAAGTCGACACCAAAACTAATAACAGCATCTGGTTTAACGGGCCCACATTTTTACAAGACGACGAAAGCGAGTGGCCGTACCGAGAAGACTTGGGACCGATAGACAACAGCGAAGTCAAAAATCACGTGCTCCTCGTACATACCCAGAAACTAGACCAGAAGAAACTCGTTGTAAACTTTGAATATTTTTCAAGTTGGAAAAGGTTGTATCGTGCTTTCGCAACATTCATTCTCTACATAGAAAGGCTCAAAGCAAAGGTTCGCTCAACAAAACTTCCCGATGAGGTCAGTTTCGAGATGATTAAAACAGCAAAGAGGACATTAATAGCTCAGGCACAGCTCAGCGAGTACGGGAGTGAACTACTTTACTTAAAAGATGGTAAGAGTCTAGGTAAGGATAGTAAACTAAAAGCACTCAATGTATTTGCAGATGAGCTCGATGTTATACGAGTTAGAGGCCGAGATGAATTCCTGTCTGCTCGTAATGCTATCGTTTTGCCTAGCAAACACTACCTCGCCCACCTCATAGTCAAAGATTTTCATGAAAGATACCACCATCTATCACACGAAACAGCTATAAATGAAATAAAAGGAAAATTCCATATACCTCGTCTGCGCGTACTCTATAGAACGGTGCGTCGGATGTGTCAAACGTGCGAGAACAAATGTGCAAAACCTCGCGATCCGCAAATGGCTCCCTTACCAGCCGCAAGACTTGCTTGCTTTGAACGACCTTTCAGCTATGTTGGGATCGACTATTTCGGGCCTATGATTGTTGCTGTTGGTAGACGCCGAGAAAAACGTTGGGGCGTTATCTTTACGTGTCTCACGGTTCGTGCCGTTCGCATCGAGATCGCCTACAGCCTAGACACGAATTCATGCATCTTATGCCTTCGAAACTTTATCTCCCGACGTGGAGTACCCAGAGAAATCTACACCGACAACGGCACAAATTTCAAAGCGACCGAGAAGATTTTACGTACCGAGGCAAATGACATGGACTATGCAGCAATTCAATCCAAGTTCGACGACATCAAGTGGAAGTTCAACCCACCAGCAGCGCCTCACATGGGAGGAGCTTGGGAACGCCTAATAAGGTCAATCAAAGCAGTGCTAAATGCAATGCACCCCGAACATAATTTTAACGACGAAACACTTCGTAGCGCACTCCTAGAGGTCGAGTTTATAATTAACTCGCGACCGCTCACCTTCGTATCTATAGATGCATGCGACGATGAAGCAATTACGCCGAACCACCTCTTAATCGGCTCATCCACGGGATATAAGCCCATCGGTAGTAGCGGAAATTTGCACCAGCGCTATCGTCAAACCCAATTGTATGTTGACAGGTTCTGGCAAAGATGGATAAAAGAATATCGGCCGATGTTAACGCGGAGATCCAAATGGTTTGACAAGCAGCCCAACTTAAAAGTCGGCGACGTCGTTTTAATCGTCGATGAGTCTATGCCGCGAAACTGTTGGCCAAAAGGCGTCATAGTGGACGTCGTGCTAGCAAACGACGGACAGGTCCGGAACTCTAGTGCGACCTGCAACAAAAATAGCCGTGCTAGACGTCG